CCCGCGATGGCGGCCTGCGTCTGCGTGTCCTGCGCCGCGCCCGTGCGGTAGAGGCCAGCAGCGCGGCTGTGATGGCGCTGGTCGTCTCCGCGTCCTGCGCTGCCCCTGTGCGGTAGTCTCCCAACAGAGTGTCCACTTGTGAGGAGGTGTAGTAGGCCAGCAAGGCTGCTGTTATGGCAGCGTCAGTGCCCGCCGTGGAGTAGCAGTCTGCCGTGATGCTCAGCGTGTCGTCGCCGTTGGCCAGCGCAGCAGAGAGAGGAGCCATGAAGATGCAGGTTGCGAACGACGTTGCTTCCGCGAACGAGCTCCCAAGTCGTGAAGCCCGCCCAGGCCGGCGCGTTAACAACTCCGCCTCCGGAAAGCTGCAGGGCGGCGAGCTCCGCGAGGATTGCGTCGAGGGCGCTCTGGAGCGTGGTCTCGCTGGCGGAGAGCGCGGCGTTCGTGGCGTACGAGGCCAGCAGCGTCGCGTCGGCCTTGGCCCCCTGGAGCGCCGTGATGCTGGCGTCCCGGCTAGCAAGCTGCGCTGCGACGAAGGCCTCGGTGGCGAGGCCCAGCAGCGCATTTGCTATTTTGGTGTCTACCTCCAGTGGAAGTCCGTCCACCGTGGAGAGCAGGGCGGCCAGCGCGCTGGCGTCCGCCTTGCCAAGGAGGGCGGCGTCCAGGGCTGCCGTGGTGACAGCGTCCAAGAGGGCTGTCGCTATCTTAGAGTCCACCACCGAGGAAGTGTCCACGGCCGACTGCAGGGCGTAAGCAGTCAGGGCGCTGGCGTCTGCCTTGGAGGCCTGCAGCCCCGAGATGGAGGCGTCTCGGCTCGCGAGCTCGGAGGCCAGCGCCGCGGCGGTGACGGCCCCCAGGAGAGCGTTGGCCACCTTGGTGTCCACCTCCAGCGGCGTGATCCTCGCCGCTATGTCTAGGGAGTGCTGGTCCACCACCGTCTTGAGGCCGTAGTTGGCGGCCACCGTGGCCAGCGTGGCGTTGTTGGCCGAGGCGATGGAGCCGTTCATGGCCGCCGTGGTGCTGTAGTTGGACAGCTTCAGGTCCACGCCGTCCGGGGTGCTCTTGGTGGCCACCACGCCCTCCAGCACGTCGAAGGCCGACTGGTCTGCCTTGTTGGAGAGACCCGTGGTCAGCGAGCTCTGCAGCGCGGCGATGCTGCTTCCGTGCGCGGCCACCTGCCCGTCCGTGGTGGCCAGGGCCGCCGCCGTGGCCAGGGGCGCAATTGCCGGCGCCAGCGCGCTGCTGTCCAGCTTTGAGGCCAGCTCTGCGGTGACTCTGTCGTCCAGGGACTGGATGGCCGCCGCGTTGTTGCCGGAGGCTGCCGTGTTCACCGCCAGGTCCGTTACTTGAGCGTAGGGCGTCAAAGCGAGGGCCAGCTGCCCTGCGGTGACGTGCGTGCCGTCAGTCACCTCTCCGTTGTCCAGGACCTCCGGGATATTGCCGGTAACAGGTCCTTCAAACATGTTTACATATGTTCTCGCCGCCTTAGTCCAGTGGCTATTCCGCAAAGCGAGGCCGGCTCCGCGGCTTCGGTCTTGGAGTGGCATTCCGGCCGTTCGGAGAAGTTTCCTTGTCCTCGTGATTCGGGGGTATTGTGTTTGACACACCACCCCCTCACAGGCGTCACCGCTTGTTGGTGCGTCAAACGCACCAACCCCTCTTCGGCGCAAGTTTCCGCACGTGTCACAGTCCGTGGGTGACCTTGAAAGCGAGGCCCGCACCAGGCCCGCACCAGGCCCGCACCAGGCCCGCACCAGGGTTTTTTTCGGAAGTAGCGCGGCTGCAATGTGACTCAATTTGACCGATGGCGCAGGTCTCGCTTTTGACCGATTTTGCCGGTCAATCGCGGGACCTGCGCACGATGGAGCCAGTCTCCGACATAATCGGACACTGCTTCGTAGTTGGTGCGAGACATCAGCTGCGTGCCTCCATGTCGGCGGGCTGGCGTGGCTCTGCCGGGCAGGTTCGCCGAAACTTTAGACAGTTGTCCCCACAGGACAACTGGATTTTTTTTTCACAGTTGTCCCCCCACAGGGCCACTGGATTTTTTTTTCACAGTTGTCGGCTTAGACAACCTCGACATTTTTTTCCTGGCAAGAATCCCGACCTTGGCACGGGCTCGGCAGGAGGCTTCTATGCCAGGCAGGTGGCGCGGCCGGGCTCCGATGCCGGGCAGGTGGCGGTGCGTTCATCCTGCTAGCCTCCGGTGGTCTCTGCCGCGGCGGGCGGGCTGGCGCCTGTGGGTTTTAAACACAGCTGCCTCTACTCTCATCTTGAGACCATGGCCTCTCCGTCGCGCCCGCAAGCCTGTATGGTTTCGCATCAAGACCTGCTCGAGATGTGGGAGGCCGACGTTGCTGTCTGGGACTGCTGGTTCACAAACCAGAAAAGGCTGTACGACGCCCAGAGACAGGAGCCCGATGAGATGCGCCAGCTGCACCTCGCAAACCAGCAGTGGGTGCAAGAAGAGGAAGAGCGACGAGAGGAGTCGCAGCGCAAGCGCCGGCGCACAGATGCTGGGATGGCAGAACATGCGACGCGGACCAACGCAGCGTGGCTCAAAGACAGGATTGACGCCCTCCAGCGTCTGCTCAAAGTCCAGACCGACGGCATTCAGGGGGTGCTCAAAATCCAGACCGACGCCGCCTTGAGCCGGTTTGCGATCGAAACCGACGATCTCCGTGAGTGGCTCCCAGACGAAGCCGACGTCCGTCGTGATCAGCTCTTGACCGACACCATCAACCTCGAGGCGCGGTTCAAATTCAAAACCGACGCCCTGCATGAGTGGCTCGCAGTCGAAACCGACGCCCTCTATGACCGCATCGTAGGCGAAGAAGTCATCACCTTCCATGAGCAGCTCAAAATCGAAACCGACCGCCTGCATGAGCAGATTAACATCGATGTCGGTCGCCTCGATGAGATGACCCAATTCGACGTCGACGCCCACTGCGAGCGGCTTGTGAGCAGAATCGACGCCCTTCAGGGGCTCCGGTGGGGCCAAACGGGAACGCCGGTCTGAGGGGCTTCGGAGCAATCCTGGGGTGACAACAGGATTGAAGGAGGCAATCCTGGGGTGACAACAGGATTGAAGGAGGCAATCCTGGGGTGACAACAGGATTGAAGGAGGCAACCCTGGGGCCTCGCAGCCATTGGCAAAAAAAAGCGTGCTGCAGTCCTCCCCCCACGGGAGGACTGGATTTTTTTTTTCCTGGGAAGAATCCCAACCTTGGCGCAGGCTCGGCAGGCTGGAGGCTTCTATGCCGGGCAGGTGGCGCGGCCGGGTGGCGCGCTAGGTATCAAAGCCGTTGGGCGAGCCATCAAACGAGGTTGGGCGAGCCAGTACTAAGGGGCCGTTGGGCGAGCCCGTACTCATTGGGCGAGCCCGTACTCATTGGGCGAGCCCGTACTCATTGAGCCATCAAACGAGGTTGGGCGAGCCAGTACTAAGGGGCCGTTGGGCGAGCCCGTACTCATTGGGCGAGCCATCAAACGAGGTTGGGCGAGCCAGTACTACGTGCTGCGCCTGCGCGGCGTCAAGAGTGCCCGCTTGGCTACCCAGCGCACGCCGCTTGAACAGTGGCCTGCCACTTTCACAGTGGCCCCCTCCACTTGCACAGTGGCCTGCCACTTGAACAGTGGCCTCCATGCCACTTGTACAGCGGCCGCCACTTTCACAGTGGCCAACGCCTGCGCCTGCTTGGCGCTGTGCCTGCTCGGCACTACCTACAAGTGCCTGCTCGGCACTACCTCCTTAAGTGCCTGCTCGGCACGTCTACTTAAGTGCCTGCTCGGCACTGTGCCTGCTCGGCACGTCTACTTAAGTGCCTGCTCGGCACTAAGTGCCTGCTCGGCACGTTTAGTTAAGTGCCTGCTCGGAACGTCTACTTAAGTGCCTGCTCGGCACTAAGTGCCTGCTCGGCACCGCCCCGCCTCGCGAAGTTCTCCAGGATGTCCGACCTACGTACGGCAGCCTGACAGGAAAAAAACAGGGGGGGGGGCACTTTGGGGTTGAACCACATGCACATGACATGCAAAACCGTGCGAAAAACATGTCAAAATGACAGGTTCAAAATCATGCAAAAAACAAGCTGTTCCACGTGTCATGCAAAAAAACAAGCTGTTCCACATGTCATGCCATGCAAAAAACAAGCTGTTCCACATGTCATGCCATGCAAAAAAGCAAGCTGTTCCACATGTCATGCAAAAACCATGCAAAAACCATGCAAAAACCATGCAAAATGCGGCGCGTACGGAGCGCCAACCCGCCGAACCCTCACAGTCCCCCGCGTCCTTGCTATACGTGCTATATGTGCTATATCTCACAAGGCAAGCCACTGAACATCCACTCTCCCCGGGTTCCTTGCTATATGTGCTATATGTGCTATATCTCACAAGGCAAGCCACTGAACATCCACTCTCCCCGGGTTCCTTGCTATATGTGCTATATGTGCTATATCTCACAAGGCAAGCCACTGAACATCCACTCTCCCCGGGTTCCTTGCTATATGTGCTATATGTGCTATATGGCCCTATATAGCACATATACTACAGATTTTCGCGCGTACAGAATATATAGCACATATAGTACATATAGCAAGGAACTGGGGGAGAGTGGGGGTTCAGCGGCTTGGCGTGTAAGATATAGCACATATGATGATTCTCACTTTAGTGATAATTCCTTATCCAAAAAGGGAGACCCCTGGTGTTTGTGCTGGGGCACTAACATTCCCATCAGCAAACTTTTTAAGTTGCTCACAAACGGCCTTGTTTTGATGTGTTGTTTTTGTGGATGAACAACACTTCGTTGCACACCACCGCCATTGCACAGACCCAAGGGGTGGGTGGGAGGGAGCTCCTCGTTTTTGCAATGGCCGCTTGAGAATTTTTTCCATGGGCCAGTGTCTGCGCCGTTTTCGCGCCAGTACAGTGCTGGCGTGGCGCCGATTTGTTCTGCATTGCTTGCATATCAGACGCTGCCAACGTTGGTTCCACAACATTGGGCAGCACCTGGCCTTGCGGTATTCTCGTTCTTTCCTGGATAGAGTCAGCCGCTGTTATCCACAGCTGCGCTGATCATGGCTCACATCCCGGAGCACGACCATTGCATGCAAAATGGGGAGGATGTGTTCAAACAGGGTGAGTTTGCCACGGACTTTGTTTCACGTCGAAATTTGCAACCTTCTAACGAAGCTCTGGAGGTTGCGTCTTCTGTTGGACTTGTGCCGGATGGAGAATCTGATGATCAACAGGATGGCCAACAGTTTGTCCCTGTAAACTTTTCGCACGACAGATGTGACGATGGTGTTGAACCTTGTGGCTACTTCGTGCAGAAACTACATGAATGTGTGCAACCTGAATTTGGAACAGCTTGCTCTTCAGACCATGGTGGTTGCATGTCTGATCCTGGCTCGTCGTGTCAGATGCATGATACATTGGACAGTGGGCGGCCTGATCCTGGAGCAAGGGCCTCAGTGGAGAAGGCCGACACGTCTGTGGCTTGTTCCAGCAATGTGCCTTTTGTCGCATCCAGACATGAGAGTTCAGATCGTCAACTTGCAGTCATGGTTGCAGCACGGCGTTTGGGAGCAAAGAAGTCGAAGATTTCAATGCCATGGGATGCACCCTTCATGAAGATGCCCTGGGAAGTGAAACCTCTTTGCACTGTTTTTGAGAATAGCAAGAGCTTCCCACCGGTTCCTGTGGAAGCTATACATGTTGCTGCAAGTTCACAGGCCGAGGTTCCTGGAATGCGAGAGGTTTCAAGGAGCGGTGTGAAGTGGGCGGCTGTCAAACGAAGAGTCGTTGACAGTTGGCCAATCGCGCTCGGCAAGGAGATGCACCAGTCCCTTGAATTGTGGAGGGTGATTGCATTCAGTGGCATGCATGGGACAAGACTTGGACGCATTTTGTGCCAACTGTCAGGTGCAGATGATGCAGATGCAAAGATTGCCCAAACTCTGAAGGACACGTTTTGCAGTAAGGCCCCCTCGACTTTGAGGTCGAGGGCGTTCTCGCTGATCTCCTTTTCGAAATGGAAAGCCTCGAGGTTTGGGCCAGACAGTGCACATATTTTCCCGATTCAAGAGCAGGAAGTCTATGACTACATTTGCGATTTGCGAACAGAAGCGGCCCCTGTTACGAGGGCACGGCGTCTTTTTGAAGCTGTGGCCTTTGCGAAGGGTCTCCTGGGCGCAGATGTGGATGACGTCCTGAAGTCACCGCGCATTCAAGGTGCGGTGAAATCCTTCACTCGGGGACTGGTGCCGAGAAAGAAACTTCCTTTGCCTGTGCATGTGGTGGCCGCAATGGAAGGTCTGGTGGTGCACAGTGACCCCCAGACCGCCATCCTTGTGGGTTATTTTTTGCTCTTGGTATATGCGAGATTGAGGTTCTCGGACGCTCAATTCCTAGTACAGGAACCCAAGATTGACGGGAGCGACAGTCATGGGTTTTTGGAAATGCAGCTGTACCACCACAAAACCATTGGCCGGAGCAAAGCCACAATCAACAGGCTCCTGCCAGCTGCTGCAGCTCTGCCGGGCGTGGGAGGTCATCCATGGGCATCGAAGTGGCTAGAGATTAGGGAACAATTTGGTCTTGCGGCTGGTCGAGGGCATCCCACTCTACCAGTCATTGTCTCTGGACCAGCTTGGGGTTCGCTGCCTATGACACCGACCGAAGGGGTCGACAAGCTCAGGCAAATTCTCAGGATGGTTGATGGGACACTAGATGTTTCTCAGTTTGGCACGCACAGTTGCAAGGCGACAGTGCTTTCGTGGCTTGCCAAATCTGGTGCTAGCCAGCAAATTCAGCGGCGAGCTGGGTACCATGCGAAGGCATCCGAGCTCAACCCGATGGAATATTCTCAGGATGCTCAGAGTGAGGTTCTAAATCGCATTTCCAGCATTTGTATTGCAGTCAGACTCGGAAGATTTCAGCCTGACAGCACCAGATCTCAGAGGTGGATCGGTTGCCAGAACCTTGAAGAAGCAGTGGCAATGGATGCCTCTTTTGGATCATCAGTTGGGACCGAAGGAGCGCCGTCTGGCGAAGATGAGTGCAGGTTCGTGGAGCCTACACCTTTCGACGCTGCCAGCCAAGATGCGGAAGATTTGGATTCGCAGCACGGCAGTGGCTCCGGACATGATTCCACGTCTAGCACCAGTAGCAGCGTTGATGGCAGTGAATCGGAGAGTGAGGATGAGAAGAGACAGGCCGCAGAGCACGTGCAGGAGATGGCCAAGGGCGTCAATGAGCACCTGACCACCGATTTTGACCTCTTCAATCATGTGAAGAGGAGAACCCTGCACAGATCTGCCCGCACGAATGTCGATCCTCAGGGACGTTCGTTTGTGGCCGCCTTGTCACCCGAATGTTTGAGCAGGTCTCAATGAGTGAGCTTCCTGCCTTTAATCCAGACAAATGCAAACAGTGTTTTTCGAAAGGGTCAATTCTTTCTTGAGCCTGAAATCGGTGCAAAAGAGGCTTCATGGTTTGGCGGTTTCTTCCCATGCCGAGTCTTGGAGCGCTTTGTTTGGCTTGTCAGTCAGCTTGAACTTGCACCGTTTTTTCTGTTTGCATGGAACGTCTGAGGACCGTTCTCTTGCCCAAGCTCTGACTAAGAGTCTCAGTTTTCCGGGGCCGCACATGTCGTTGGTTGATTCTGCGCCTGTCTTTAAGGCTAGGTGCCTCAGCATTGGGCTTGCCGAAACGGTCATTGATTCCCTTCATGACAAGGGATGGGACACGCATGCCTTTGCTGGGGAGTGCCGATCATGCAGATGGCGCCAAGCTCAGGAGGCTACATTTCGAGTCGTATACTCTAGCTGCTGCTGAGATGAAACGCAAGGTGGAATCGGCAGAGGGACAGCCTCCAGCGAAGCTGCCTCCCGCAGAAGTGGCTGAAAGAATCGCGGTTTTGCAGGCTAAGCTTGACCCTTTGCTCATCGAAAACACCATGGAGCCAAGCCACGCCCTCATCAATTATGTTTCCCAGGCCGTCGAAGATGGCAGGTGGAGATATATTGAATGGGATCGCTGCACTACGAGAGCACAAGAGGTCAATGGCATCAGCGAGGACACAGGGTTGAAGGTTTGGCGCCCTGACAAGCATTCTGGTGTGATTAAGGAATTTCACCACGAGCCAAAGCTGACGGCCCCCTTGACCACCGATTTGGAGATTTCTAATGCCCTGAAGCGCAGAGGCGTGGCGTATGAAGTTGCGCAGGCAATGAGCTTCAAATCGCATGAGAAGCTGGTCAACTTGCTTTTCAATGAATATTTGAAGCCTGCGCCCGACGGTTTTGAGAAAATTTCGATTTCCCAGCTTGTGGCTGCAGACCGTGAGGTGCATGTTAGACTGGCTGAGGCCACCAAGGCTGGACTTGCGAAGACGCATGAAAGGTCCGGCTGTGCAGCTTGACTTGACAGTTCCTTCAGTTCAGGATTTGATCCTTGATTTGGTGCATTCAAAGAGCGTCGTTGCCATTTTCATGGGGCCTCCTTGTGGAACAAGTTCGAGGGCCCGCAACATTCCCATACGCGCTCATTTGAGATCGCGTGGTGTACCACAGCCACGGCCTCTTCGCTCCGACAGCTACCCTTGTGGCTTCCCCAGCCTCAAGGGTGTGGCTCTAAGCAAGGTGACGCAGGCAAACCAGTTGTATGCTTTTTCTGCAGCACTTTGCGAAGTCGCTCAAGACTATGGTTGTTTGGTTGCGGTTGAGAACCCAGCCCGAAGCCTCATGTGGCTTACACCCTGGTTTGTGCATGTTTCCGAGCTCCTCAGTTTCAACATGTTCCAGTGCCACTCGTGCATGTACGGGGGCTCTCGACGGAAAGCCACAGGTTTCCTGGCCAATTTTGACATGTCTGAACTGTGTCTGCAGTGTGATGGGTCGCACGTGCACGAGCCCTGGAATGCCACCATGCAGCAGGGACACTGGAAGTTTGCAACATCTGGTGAAGCTGAGTATCCTGCCGGACTAGCCAGGTGCATAGCCCAATGCTTCCGGCAAGAACTTGCCAAGCGCGGGGTGAACCCTGAGCCAACCCATGCATCTCAGGCTGCTTTGGCATCACAGAGGCAGCATCGCAAGATATCTCGCACCGTGGTGCCCGAATTTGCTCAGACTTTCCAAATCCAGGTGCCCGATGGTCAGACACCACCTATGCGCCTTGATGACAATGCGCCCATTTGGTTGGCCTCAGTGCCCAAGAAATCCAAATTGATTCGCATCTTTTCCAAACATGTGGATGGGGGTGTGAATGGTACAGATGCTGGACGGCGAGAGGCGCGCAAGATGGCGGAGTATGGCAGTTTTTTCGAGCCAAGGGACTTCACCAGATATGCTTTGGAGCAGCCACACCCAACTGACGAGTTGGGCGCTTTTTGTGAGGACAATTGGAAAGCAATCTGCTGGATATCTTCGAACAGCGCTCTGATGGTTGCAAAGTTCAGGCTTGAACAGATTATCAAATACAAGAAGGTTGCCAGAGATTTGAGGAACGAGGAGATCGCTCTTCACCAGGGTCTGCACCCTGATTTGCAGACTGTTCTTGCAAAGAAGCAACTTTTGCTCTTCAAGAGACTGTGCGAAGATGCAGAGATAGATGATGAGTTCCTTTTCCGTGATTTGTGCGAAGGCTTCAAGTTGGTCGGGCAGCTGGAGCCCTCTGGGCAGTTTCGGAGCAAATTGAGATTGGCAAGCATGAGCGCTGAGGAGCTTCAGAAAACTGCCCCATTTGCTCAAGCTTGCATTGAACAAGAGTGTCGCAAAGTCTTGCTTGACCCCGAGGTTGCTGCTGCAGTATGGAAGGAGTCTGTCGAGCAAGCGACAGATGGCTCTGGATGGCTCAAGGGTCCCTTCACGAAGGAGGAAGTTACACTCAGGCATGGTCCACTCTGGATCCCTTCCCGCAGGTTCGGGGTTCGCCAGTCTGGAAAGATCAGGTCTGTGGATGATTTCTCCCAGTTTGGGATAAATGCTTCTACAAGTACCTTTGAGCAGATTGTTTTGGAAGGGATTGATGACGTGGGAGCGACGGCTAGGATGTTTGTAGCTGCTCTTGATGGCAGTCGCTTGGAACACTGCCGGAGCGGCATCCTGGGACGAGCCCTGGACTTGAAGGCAGCTTACAAACAGCTGGCACGTCACCCGGACCATGCATGGTGCTCAATCATTGCAGCTGCAAATCCCGACGATGGCGAAGTGTGTTTCTTCGAGGCCGTAGCACTTCCCTTTGGAGCCGTGAGTTCAGTACTGGGTTTCAATCGAGTGGCCAGGTGTCTTAGCCAGATACTGGTCAGACTGTTTCGGATCGTGAACACCAATTTCTTTGACGACTACTGCCAGTTGGAGGTCTCCCAACTGGCCGCATCTGCGCATGAGACAGCCGAGACTGTCTTGCAAATGTTGGGTTGGAACATCTCCATGGGGGAGGACAAGAGGAAACCTTTTCGCAGTGAGTTCGACATGCTGGGTGCAACTGTAGTTTTGGACGCAACTGGACAAGGGTTGATTGTTCTGAGAAACAAGCCAGGAAGGATTGAAGAGATCCGACGCTGTGTTTCAGAGCTGGTCGACAGAAGGCGTGTGCTGGCCAAGGAGTTAGACTCGCTAAGAGGTAGGCTCCTCTTTGCCAGCGGTTTCACCATGGGCCGGACTTCACAGCTGGCAGTGCAACAGATCAGCGCAAGAGTCAAGGGCAGGGCCCAAATGGAACTGGATGAGGACCTTGTGGAAACATTGAAACTTGCGGTGGACACGCTGGCCAATGCTCGCGACCGTCAAATCTGGGCAAGTGACTACAGACCACCAGTGGTAATTTTCACTGATGGAGCTTGCGAAGACGAAGCAGCTACTGTCACTTTCGGAGCAGTCTGTTTTGACCCTTTGGATTGCAATGTCGAATTTTTCGGTGACCGCATTGACCATGAACTGGTCAGCAGTTGGACTGTACAAGGCAAAAGGCAAGTCATATGTCAAGCAGAGATGTGGCCTGTCATTGTGGCCAAGTGCACGTGGTCTGCGAAGCTGAAGGAGCGCAAGCTGCTGTGGTTCATTGACAATGAGAGTGCAAGGTATGCGTTTGTCCGCGCTTTCTCCCCGGTAGTCGACAACGGCAGGCTGCTGAGAGCAAATGCACAGGTTGACTCTGAGATCTGTGCAACCTCGTGGTATGCCAGGGTCCCTTCTGCCTCAAACCCTGCTGACGATGCGTCTCGTTTGAACTTCGAAGGATATCCATCGCATTTCATCAGAGTCAGGCCAATAGTGACTGAGGCCTGCAAGAGATTGGCACTTGGCTTGGGCTTGTAGAATGGGGTGTCTGAAAGGCTTGATCGTCCCGAAGGGGAAGAGATCAAGAAGAGCCTTGACGGGACACCAGAAAGCTGGTGCATCCCTCCGCCGTGCGCGGCGCGTCTCGAAGGAGACCTGACTTCCCCATTTCTGGCTGTGAAATGATTTAATAAGAATGCGATGGATATATAATTTTATATAGTGACTGTTTGTATATCATGATTTCCGGAGTGGAATGATATACTTTACAGTTGCGTTTCTTTTGTCACGGTGCTGTTTGTTGTGTTTCATGACTCTGTGTCATGTCACGCTTTTCCTTTGGCTCAAGCTTTTGTATAATGCTGGTGTGCCGCTTTTCTGATTTGAGGCGTGTGACAACTTTGTTGGTGATGGGTCTTAGGGTCTCCCTGAGGATAAGATGATTCTCACTTTAGTGATAATTCCTTATCCAAAAAGGGAGACCCCTGGTGTTTGTGCTGGGGCACTAACATTCCCATCAGCAAACTTTTTAAGTTGCTCACAAACGGCCTTGTTTTGATGTGTTGTTTTTGTGGATGAACAACACTTCGTTGCACACCACCGCCATTGCACAGACCCAAGGGGTGGGTGGGAGGGAGCTCCTCGTTTTTGCAATGGCCGCTTGAGAATTTTTTCCCACCCGCCCGCCCTCTTTACTCCGTACCAGATAGCTGGTACTTCAGGAGGAGAAGTTTCTCCGGCTTGAGCTTCCCGAAGGGGAAGCTCAAGCGAGGGTTTGAAAGGCTTAACTTTCCAAAGGGAAAGGGGTGTCTGAAAGGCTTGATCGTCCCGAAGGGGAAGAGATCAAGAAGAGCCTTGACGGGACACCAGAAAGCTGGTGCATCCCTCCGCCGTGCGCGGCGCGTCTCGAAGGAGACCTGACTTCCCCATTTCTGGCTGTGAAATGATTTAATAAGAATGCGATGGATATATAATTTTATATAGTGACTGTTTGTATATCATGATTTCCGGAGTGGAATGATATACTTTACAGTTGCGTTTCTTTTGTCACGGTGCTGTTTGTTGTGTTTCATGACTCTGTGTCATGTCACGCTTTTCCTTTGGCTCAAGCTTTTGTATAATGCTGGTGTGCCGCTTTTCTGATTTGAGGCGTGTGACAACTTTGTTGGTGATGGGTCTTAGGGTCTCCCTGAGGATAAAGCACATATAGCAAGGAGCCCGGAGACTGTGGGGGTTCAGCGGCTTGGCGTGTAAGATATAGCACATATAGCACATATAGCAAGGAGCCCGGAGACTGTGGGGGTTCAGCGGCTTGGCGCGGCTTCAATGCCGGGCAGGTATAGCACATATATAGCAGCCATAGCAAGGAGCCCTCAGCGGCTTGGCGCACTCTGAATCAAATCGTGGGGGGAGTTTGCATCTGCAGGGAATCCCTGCATTCCCGGTATCTCTCTCTTTAGAGGGCGTTTCCCAAATGGATTCTATTCTACCTGAGAGGCTCCCAGCACTCGTCCGTCCAGCATTTGACCTCGTCCTGCGAAGGATTCGAAGTCTAAAACGCTGCGTGGAGGCGTGTGGCTGCAAAATAGAGACCCCTAGATATGCGCCGCAATTTGGCTCCAGGTTGCATTTCAAGCGATGTCAAGCTTTGCCAAAGGAAACCCTTTTCCCTTTTTTTCGGGGACCCCTTTTTTTGGGACCCCTTGTTTTCTTTTTTTTTTGTTTTTTTCTTAGCCCTGCAAAGGTTGGCTCGCTTGAAATGCAACCTGGAGCCAAATTGCAAGCATATCTAGGGGTCATTATTTTGCAGCCACACGCCTCCACGCAGCGTTTTAGACTTCGAATCCTTCGCAGGACGAGGTCAAATGCTGGACGGACGAGTGCTGGGAGCCTCTCAGGTAGAATAGAATCCATTTGGGAAACGCCCTCTAAAGAGAGAGGCTTTCTGCACTGCTCAGGCCCGCAACCTGATGACCGCTGCTACGAAGCATATCTAGTGCCCCACGCTGTGTGTTGTGCAATTTGCAGGGCACGCAAACCGGATTGTAGCTGCTGCCAGGCATGGCGTGGTTCTGGCTTAGCCATTTAAGCTATTCGTTGCACACGCCTACATTCACTCGTTGCATTCCGCAACGAACGTCAACCTGCAGAAACTCTCGAGGAGAACAGAGAAAAGTTCTGGGAAGTTGATCGCCGCATTAGCAACCGCCTCACTCAATCACCTGCACGCATGCAGACCGGAGATGGAGACCCACGCGCCTCAGTCTCCACAAGCCACCCTATGGTTCAGCCCACGGCCAAGCCCGCGCGAGCGCCTCGCTGGTGCCCACCCATAGCACATCTAGCTTGCCCTCTATTCGCCTGCCTGCTTGCAAGCGCAACCGCCCCCCATGCTTGGTTGACCTCTTGGATAATGTCATCCGCTCCAACGCGCGCTTGCGTTTGTCGCGTGCACAAAGTTTCGGTAGTTCCAGCGACATAGCATTGCGGAAGCAACCCGTGCGTCGACAGGCCACGTCCACGCCAACGTGCGGAGCGTCCCTTTTGCGTCATCTGAATAATTGCATCTTCATTACTGCTCGTAAAATAATCTTCCTTTTGCGCGCGCGCGCAGTGATCACACCAATTCTGGAAAGGTAAATGCGTTGCTTGATGTCTCTTCACCTTGTGTAGAAGCTTTCTAAGCAGCTGGATGGCAGAAGGTGGAAGTGAGAAAAAAAGGGACAGAGCCGTCTTCAGAAACTTCCCTCTTCCACTGACCTTCTCTCTCAGCTCATGTACAACCCTCTTCTACACGTTAGCACAAAGATGTTGCAAAGGATGCACTGCAAGTCCGTGCGTTGCCTCGTTGTGTTAAACGGTGCGGGCCAAACATAAAAGGTCGTTGCGGCAGACGGCTTGTTTGAGATGTCAAAGCCGTGTTTGTTGTACAAAATTTTTGTGTTTGGTCTTTTTTCTTGGTATGTTTTTGTGGGACGTTCCATATAGGATTGTCGTATTTTGGGTTGTTGTTTAGTGTTGATATATTTGTAAATTACTTGGTGACTTACACATTTATTTGTTTGTATGTTCTTATTGTTGATACAATGATGGTTAACACCAATTACGTTTGTGCAATGGTACACATATATATATATATACATACAGGAACTAGTTGATCATTTATGGTTAAAACAAGTAGATATGAGTAGATATTTACATGATAATATATATATATATATATATCAATACATAAGTATATTGAATAACAACAATACTGGTATCTTTTGCAGCGTTGTATATATTGAATACAGTTCGGATGACCTACATATTTACTTTTGTTGAAGAATGCTGTTTGAATTTGGCTTATTGCAGGAAGAAGGAAAATAAACAAACATGTAAGAACTGCCTCATACGTGCGAACAGGTAAGCCGGGTTTGCAAGCGTAAAACTGGTTTCAGTTTCAAACCTTGGGCCAACTTTCAGGACTTCATCCACTCATAAGCACTCGCCTGAGAGTGTCAGAGAAAGGGAAAGAGAGAGAAGGAGAAAGCGTGTGTGTGTGTGTGAATGTGCGACAGAGAATTGTTCAAATACAAGCAACCCGTCGTTGTATTGTCGATCGATTTTTGTCGGCTAAATGAAGAATATATGTATGCAATTAACTTAGTAGCGATTTTACAACATGTTTTCAATGTTTGCGGCTCAGTTTGAAGTCTATCGGGTTGACACCGTTTGTTTTATTCCACATGTAGTGTTTGGGCGATGAGCTGGCTTTTGTGAGAGTCCATTGAAAAGTGCTAAAACTTGACACCATTGCATTTTTGATGTGCGTAAAGAAGCGGGATCAATTGATGACCCTAATGCTTTCCAGATATATCAAAGCGCAAAAGTTCTAGTAGTTCTTTGCGATATTTACAATGGTTCTTTTGCAAGACGGCGTTGTCCTGAGCAGGAGATGAAGCATCGAATGCTACACATGTTGGGCAAAGTGGCTGCCATAGCAAACAGTTACGTCATGGCATGATCAGGCCCCACGCAGCAATTTTGCAATTGTTTGTCGTGGTCGGGTCTTGCATAACGGTGGGCGACTCCAATGTTGCCAAGTTTACAAGCTGGAGTGACAAACTGTGCATGTTTTGTGGGACATGACCTGTAACTTGATGGACATGCATCAACCCCTGACGCTTTTGGCTCTGCAAGGGTCTCGGATTTGCCCGGGCCCTCTGCTCAACGTAGCCGCTTGGCTTGTGATTCACACTCTGGCATCATTCGGCGAGAACTTGGCAAGGGCTTGATATTGACGCAAAAAAAAAAACACCCAACATGTTGTTGGGCTGACGGCAGGTTGGCTTGGAACTCTGGAGCAACTTTGTCGGAGGATGTGCCTACGCAAGAGTGGGGTTGTTCCCACTTTTGGTGCGGCACGGGGTAGGGGCCTGTTTTGCTCAGTAACTCTACGGGCTGCACCGTCCGAGACTTGGCATGTTCGCACGGCACAGGGCACATGGGCCATCGGCCACGCCGCGTTTCGTGGCAAGCAGGCCATATCGAAATTTAGTCTGCCAGCCATCGCATGACATGGTTCCCAGCCATCCGGTTCCTTAGGCTTGTAGATGTTTTTTAGTTGGTTTGGTGGTTGGGCTTCCAGTTAACCCGCTGGAAGTTCAGCTTTTGGCAGGGGAGGTGAGGACAGCCCAGTGACGTGGTAAGCATTCGGCAATATCTTGACGTCAGTGGCGGCTCCATGGATCGCGATTGGGCCGGAGGTGCTTCTTTTGCGGTGATTCGGAAGTCTTCTGGGGAGAGTTTCACGTGTACGTTTGGATGTGGCTCAAACTGAGTCGTATGACGTAACTCCCAATTTGACTGCTGTCCAACAAAGGGTGCCCACGTTAGAACAATTCCTGCCCATTGTGCAACCATGAGTAAACAACCCGCTTCATCTTCTTCTCGTCTTCCACCTCATGGGGCGGCGCTTAGTACCAAACACGGGGTTCTATGCGGTCAAAACAACCTGCTTCAGAAAGAGTCACTTGTGTGTCAGGCCATGCGCGCGAGGCTGGAAGTGGGCCTGCAAAAGATTCTCGGGTGAACCAATAACACAAAGGACAAGTGAGAACATCTTTGCGACGTAGGAGTGGTAGACAGAACAATGGCATGAACTTTTGATGCCAAAGGGCTAACGGTGTGCTTGAGAG